TTTTTTTTTTCAAGAGAATCCAATTAGACCTTTCTTAATATAAGAATTCTCATAAACAAACTGCAATCGTAATTTTTATTTTATAAAAATCTGTATCATTTTAGAAAATTGTATTATCTCATTCAGGAATTATACTTTCATAAGAACAATGATTCAAAATAGATAAAATCTCTGCAGATAAAGACGATATAGGGGAAAAAAAACAGAAAATGAATTATGCGTTGGTTACATACAAGGAATTTGACACGACAAAAAATATAAAGAATGTAATACTTAAGTTAATTAATTTGTAAATAAAACGATTATATTTAAAACAAGTAATAAAAAAAAAATTTAAAAAAAAAAAGCCAATTCCTACTTTTTTTTAAACTATATTTCAGGAAGTCCTTTATGAATAATTTTCATTCATTTTTTTAAATTTATCTGGCGCCATCTATTGGTAGAAATATGCAACTAAAATCTAAAAAAAAAACTAAAATTAATTAATTAAATTTAATTACTGAATTAATATTTGAAAAAACTGTATTAACACCCAGTGACATCCACTACAAGTTAAAAAAAAAATGTATTTGAACTTGAGTGGATGAATAAAAATTATTTTATTAGCGATTGAAAATTTGAGCAAGATATATATATATATGGAGAGTGTGAGCTAATAGACGGAATTGAAAAATATAAAGAATTTGTAATACTTGTTTAAGTTAATTAATCATTGTAAATAAAACGATTATATTTAAAAAAATTAAAGTTCGTAATGATAAATTGCATTATTGATCCCTCTATATTATTGATAATTGAAAAATAGCTATCATCATCTATACTATTTTTTTAATAAAAATTGCAATCCTATCTATATATGTCTTGATATGACTAATATATATATATATATATATATATATATCTCGTTAGATCACCGAAGTCAAGCATCATTGGGCGCGGTCAGTACTTGGGTGGATGACCACCTGGGAACACCGCGTGCCGTTGGCATTCACAAATTTGGGACCTGAATGGCAGAGTGTCTAGCGCTCTGGCACTCGATGCCACAGGTGTCGGATTCGAGTCCCGGCGGTGCCATGGATGTTTGTAGTGGTTCGGAATCCACTTTAAGCCGTAGGTCCCAGTCTCCTATGACTGTAAGAGCGTCACGGAGCCAAAGTCAGACTTCTATCTACGGGTGCTCCATCACAACAGAAGCTGCTTCCTCCCCCTTCAATCATGAGCCCATAAGCGTAGACGTCCACGAGAGCATAAGAAACAACAACAACAAATATATATATATATATACATAATAATGTATATATAATGTATAATGTATATATATATATATATATATATATATATATACATTATTTCCTATTCTTTCCGATGCCGTAGGACATTCTTTATATACACTCCACTGCAATGTGCTGCCAGCGGCCTTCTGTGATTGGTTAATTCAGGTTGACGTCGAAAGTAGGTGGTGGTCACATTAATGTGACTGGACTGTGTAATATGCTAAAATATTTCAGTATATCTCAAAGTATTTTAATCGAACAATTTCTGCTCGATTACAGAGATAACTTTTATTGTAATAGAAAAATTCATATAATAAATAAACTGAATTAACATTGCTAAAATCTTAAGTTTTAGTAACCAAAAACTCAGCAGTATCCCTGCTTGTTTTATTTGGACAAATATGTCCGGCATTCTACACCCTCCACTCTAAAGCTCGCCAACCTCATATCCATATAACTGTAAAAATCAAGCAAATTCCAAAGCATCGCTCGTATAGGAGGTAAAAAAAAAAGGGGTAGGGGGGTAGGGTGTAGGGGTTGGATGGGCATCTTCCCGATACATACAGAGATCAATTATTCAGTTTCACGTTCCAGTAGCTTTAAGGGTTCTCCCATAAAATCTTTTTATAGCTCTCAGAGTTTCGTGACTTTTGTTACAAGGGAGGGCGTTCCGCGTGCATCCCCCCCCCCCTTCCCCTTGGAAGCACGCACTGTGCGGCAGATGGTGTTACAACATTACCTTCAGCCAGAGAGTGCCGGAAAGAGAGAGAAAGGTAATGGCTGCGGAATGGTGCAGTTTTTGTTCCTTTCTGGGGGATGAGGGGCTGGTTGTATATATTTAGAAAGGCGTGGGTGGATGGTTATGATACCTTTCTGAGAATTATGGAAAATCGTGGAAGAAAATGGTTTCTTTCTGAGTCATAATAAGAGTTGCCGTTTGGAAATATCTCGTTATTCATAACTTTTTACTTCACTGAATTCGTATTCCAGAAGGTAACGAAAAGACTGCTCAGTTGGTCAAAGAAGCCAATTAATTAATTCGAATCATTTGTATGAAAATGCTGAGGTTAGATATAATTTTAAAGAGCTACCAATTAAATTAAAGACTAAATATACGATATCAATAAATGCTAACCAATATTACCAAACCTATTATACTATTATACTAACAGCAAGAGAAGAAAAAATGTTGCCAAATCTTTGAAAGAAAAGTACTACGAACTATTGTTTGGTGGTATCAATGACAATGGAAATCGGCGAGGAATGCATTTTTGAACTTTACAAACTTTTTAGAGATATTAGAGAGATAACATAGCGACTTTGAAAGTTTTCAATGCAATCCCTTTTGGACAACGACCAAAGGGAAGACCGATAAAGAGATGGGTCGATCATTTAGACTTTGATTTTAATGTTTATTAAGATCAAAAACTGGAGGTCCACGACCAAGAGGGAAACAGCCTGGCTGGATCTTTTGAAGAAGGCCAAGGCCCACAATGGGCTGTAGAGCCAGTTATGTATGATGATGATTATACGGCTAGAATCTGATCATTATAGAGGTATGAATAGGTACCAAAATAGGTATACAAAAAATGTATTAATTATACCAAAACATAAAACTTTCTCGTCATTTTAGCAAAGCACCGTAGAAAGCCCTGAATGAAGCCTTTAATCGTGTAATACTGGCTTTCATGTCAGTATTGTCGTTCCATCTAATATCAATGGTACGACATCATACTTAGACACGAATCATCAAAACAGCACGGCATTATCGTTATGCATTATTCAATTTTGTTCTAAAGAATATAAAATTTTTTGAAAACAGAAAAAATTATTGAGTTCTCAAAATGTTTGTGTCCGATATAGAATGTACTGGGAAAAAAAACTATCTTCTTTCTACGAGTTAGGATAAGAAATAAATATATACATTTAGAAAGGGATGGGATGTTTGGTCTGTCGCCCTACGGTCATTTTTTTTGCACACTTTAGGCTAATTTGACTGGGACCTACAGTTTAACAGTTTCGAACCTAAAAAGCCTATGGTACTAAAGACCAGAATGCTAGCCACTTGACCATCAGGCCACCGGCAAGTAAGAAGGAAAAGATGGTACTTTTCAGAGAAATAAAAACAACAAATTAATTAGCTTTCAACTGAACCATATTCATAATTTGTTTAAAATACATGCAAACTTCAATTTCTGGCTATGACATATTGATAATTAAAAATTATTATAAAGATTATTTTTTCTTGCTAGAATAAATTGCCGAAGAATTAACGAAATTGCGGGAAAACGAAATTGCATGAATTGCGCGAAATTGCATGAAAACTCAAACTAGATATCATTATTATTGATACAGAAGGATAAGATCATAGCGAAGAAAATGAAATGTCTTATAAAGATTTTATTTATCTTCAAAATGACAGAGTTAGAAAAAAAATAACATTGAGAAAGAGTTTATCGTTTTAATGATAGACAGTTGAATGCTAATATTTTTCCATAATTTTCCTTATTTATTTTAAAACAGTTTAAGAATAAATGACAATGCCATATTTAATGGGTATTTACAAAAGTTTTTTTTATTAATGTTTTTCTTTATTTGCGCCTTTATAATCATTTACTATTTTGGAAATTCATCTTTATTTCCTTTCAAAAATTTCTTTCAAATTTAGGAATACCAATCAATTTTACAGAAACACAATTGGTGAAATATTGCTAAGAAAGCTTATATTACTTTTTAACTTACTAATAATTGCTCACTCACTAATTTACTCACTTTACCCTTGACTTTTTCGCTCGCTAATCTATTAATGAATATGCCAGTTCATTTCGATTAGTAGAATCAAATTTTCTGTAGTCTGGAAAAACTACTAAATTATTAAAATATTTTAAGCCTGCTTAACAGAGCTTTTTTTCTATGTTGAATTATGGAAATTGAATTGTTTCATGCTTGTTAATTCGATTTGAAAACACAATTAATATAAACTGAACATTTGTGGTGGACGTTTTCCTGAATAAAACAAAATACAAATAATTTTTATTCGACTGTTTTATAATTGGTATTTTTCATGCTCTACTGTCATATTAGACTGGGACCTATGGTTTAAAGTGGATTCCGAACCACAACAAACATCCATGGCACCGCCGTTACTCAAACCCGAAACCTGGCGCCCTGAGCGCTAGAGCACTAGTCACTCTGCCATCCAGTTCTAAATGATAGATGCTATGATACCGCGTTAATCAATAAATTATGTGTTTCACCTACTTAGTGTTCATTAGTTCTATTAGTTAAGTTCATTAGTTCTATTAGTTGCGTTCATTAGTTCTATTTAGTGTTCATTAGTTCATTCACATACGAAGAGAAAGCAAATAAACAAACATACACTATTGCTAGTAAACACGAGACATCTTGTTGATAATGAATAATTTTAAAATTTAGAAAAAACAAGATATTTGTTTCTCTAAGAATAAGAAAAAATATCAATAACTCAAGATCTGGTGTCGTTTCTTTCAAGGCGAGTCCCCATTCCATAAATCTACGTCTTACAGAAATCTTATTTTTATATTGCGCATCTCAGTATGTCACAATCGTCGTAAGTCGGCAAAGAATTTCATCAAAGAGCTTTGCGATTTCAGAAACCGATGTTTCAATAAAGCGCACCTGCGTCAACGACTACACGCACTGAGAAACACCTGCGGAGAATATTGCAATAGAACTTGACAAACATTCATTTGTATATGTAGTACAAACGTGTAGTTCTATGCTCGAAATAGAATTCATAGAGCAATCTATTATATGCATGCTTTAGAGAGTAATTGTCATTACGACCATGATATTACACACATTTAATTATTTTTTAAATGTATATTAATGTATTTATGAATTAGACGAAACAATATAAATATTTTATTGATATAGTAAATATTTTTTACTTAAAAGTACCTTAACCTTTTACTTTATTATAATTTGAAAAATTTATGAGAAAAATCGTACATCTGTAGTTATACTTGTCATTAAATTACGTTTTGTAGTCACAGCTTTTAGTCATATGTAGTCCTGACTTTTTGTAGTGAAAACTGAATATTTTTTCAATTCGTGTGATTGTCATGATTTTATTTAATGATGTCTTTAATAATTATTATAGAAGAAATAGTCCAATTAATATATTTACAGTTCGGTAATTAATTATTAGAAATATTAAAAATTTTTGATGGAGAAATTTTTAGAAATACTATATGTTTGTTTCTTTTTAGGTTATTTATTAAAAAAAAAGGAATGCCAATTTTATTAATTTCATAGTTATAAGAAATGAAATGCTTTTACCTTTTTTATTTAAACTGAACCTTTCCTAGAATAAAAGTTGAATTTGTCTATGTTTAAATTTGTTATTGTTTATTATTAAATTTGTTATTATTTGTTATTAAATTTGTTATTATTTTGCTCATGTATGAATTCACAATAAAACTAAAAATACCTTTCAATATAATAACTTGAATCACTTTTGGCACATAAAAACAACATTAAAAGTTGTTGGAGGCCATTTTAGAAATGCTTGTATGCTTGTTTTTTTAGGATGTTTATTAAAAAATAAACGAATGTCAATTTTATTATTTAATTTTAATTATTAATTTAATTATTATTTTTTAAGTTTAAAATTGTACTCATTTATGATTAAACTTTAAAATAAAAAATGTCTACAAAAAAAGGCAATG